CCTCCAGCTAAGAGAGCTGCCTGCCTCCGCCTCTGGGCTGAGATTAAAGGTGTGCGTCACCACACAGGGCAAAAAAGAAACTTCTAATACTCTGGGGTCTGAGAAGGCCATCTCAGCAGGGAGAGGTAGATGGGTGATCTCAGCTCACTTTTCAGACCAGGTGACTGGCACTGGCCTTCATCTATTTGGTGGGAGAGGTTCTCAAACTTTTTGGGGTCACAGCTCTCTTTGTAATCTGATGATATCAAACTTCTCTTCCAAAAAGTGCTAAAACCTATACCTAGAAGTGATGAGTGGGCCACACCCCTGGGTTCCAATACCCACCTTCATAGACATGGGGCAGTGAGATGTCTAAGCTGGCAAACATCACTGAGTTCCATCTCCATGCCCCTGATGACAGAAAAGATTACTCCTGAAAGTAATCTTTCACGAATGAGCGTGAGCGGGCACGCACGCACGCACGCACGTGTGTGTACACACACACACACACACACACACACACACACAGGGACTCATACACACATAGTAAATTCAGGGAAAAAAAAAAAATCCTTAGCTGGGTAGTGGTGGCTCCTGCCTTTAATCCCAGAGTAAGCATTCTCAGGGAACAGGGGCTGCGTAGTAAAACTGTGTCTTTTTAAAAGAGAAAAGAAAAGCCGGGCATGGTGGTGCACGCCTTTAATCCCAGCACTCAGGAAGCATAGGCAGGCGAATCTCTGTGAGTTTGAGGCCAGCCTGGTCTACAGAGTGAGTTCCAGGACAGCCAGGGCTACACAGAGAAAACCTGTCTTGAAATTAAAAAAAAAAAAAAAAAAAAAAGAAACCAAAAACCAAAAAACTACACATACACACAAAAACCAAAACAAAAAACTTTGTAAAGGCCTAAAAACATAGTAGGGCAACACCTAAATCCCTGTGTGTGTGTGTGTGTGTGTGTGTGTGTCTCCCAGCCTGCCCAGATCAAGGTTTACTCTGTGATAAGAGGTTGTCCTAACCTATGCCTTGAGAAGCCCCTCACTTCTGCTCCTCTTTGTCCTTTTTCAGGGCTAGAAATGGAACCCAGGGCCTGGCATGTATGCGGGGCAAGTTCCCTACCCCGAGCCACACCTCTGACATCTCCCTTTTTATTAGTGTATAGTAATTTTTTTTTCATTTTTTTTTATTAAGACATTTTCTACCCACTCCACATACTACCCACAGATCCCCCCCCCCATGCCCCAGGGTATAGTATTTACTCTCCAATATTACCGGCGTCGCGATGACATTTTCACAATGTATATCACAGACTTTGCTAACTCATACTCCTTTTTCCTTTCTTAAAAGATTTATGTGGGCCGGGTGGTGGTGGCACAGGCCTTTAATCCCAGCACTTGGGAGGCAAAGCCAGGTGGATCTCTGTGAGTTCGAGGCCAGCCTGGTCTACAGAGCGAGATCCAGGACAGGCACAAAACTACACAGAGAAACCCTGTCTC